ACACAGATACACACAGACACACACAGACACACACAGACACACACAGACACACACAGACACTAACCCTCAGCAGCAGAAACTCTGGTTTGATGAAATCCAGTAGGAACCAAGTATCTGGAGGTTTCAGCCAATCAGCAATCGACCTAGAGGACAGAACCAGGAAGAGACAAGGAGGTGTTAATACCCTCCTTAAACACCCTCTCACCCAATAGACATACAGCATCAGACGAGTCTTGAAGAAGACAGGAACCTCTTGACCAATAGCATAAGGCTAGAAGATGGAGTCTTCTGTAGCGACAACTGCACTCACTGACAGATGAGATTCTTTTTCGTCAGGCAGGTTAGGATGTTCCGCTCGAAGTTCACATGGACAAGAAATGGATGGAAAGTAGAAAGCACCACACTTTGGTCAAATTTATAAAACTTAGCATCAGGGTTAGCGCAGTACTGATGGAGGATTCTGTACCGGTCATACAGCTTAATATTCATAAAGCACCTGAGTCAGCAAGGGAATCATTTGAATGTCTTTCAAGTGATTCATAACAGTGCACCACTGCACAAAAAAGGGGACGGAACCAGGTCAATTTACAATGAGTTGATATTTTACATTATTAAAATAAAAATGCTTAGTTCCATGATTAAAAAGTTAGGTGGATCTGTCGGTTGTTTGTCTTTTCTCACCTGTTGTTGGTTTTGAGGTAGATCATGGCGAGGGCCAGTGTGGCCCCTGGACACGTCACATCGACATTTATAGTGTCGCCCTCCTGGAATGTTTGGAGAAAGCAAAATATTTGGTTAGTTCGCTAACTATCAGTGTCTTGTTAACATCTAATTTCAACATTTGTGTTATTTGAATAGGTGTCATAACTATGTAATGAAAACTGACAACAACAACATGATACAAATATGAAAATCACCTTCATGAATTTTAATATGGATAATATGTATGGTGGTTTATTAAAAAGAAATTATATAAAATGACAATGTTTCTAAATTACAGCACCTCAAATAAATAATTGACCTTTTTATACTGTTTCTATACCTTATATATATATATATATATATATATATAAAAGGAATTGTTCATCTACCTTGATTTGGTAGCTGGGGGACTTGTGTCTCTCCCTGTTGGCCCCGGCCTGAGCTCTGCGGTGGCCCCCCACCATGTACTGATACAACTGCTCAGGGACATTCAGGTCTGTCATCCCAATCAGGTTACTGCCATGCTGCATGCATCCAGAGGTGGAGGGAGTGGTGGAGAGGGGAGAATAAAAGTGTTTGGAGATGAAGCGTGTTGGAAGAGATGAGCCAGAGCCAGAGAAGAACAATATCAGTGGAATGAGAAAGAGACAAAGAAAACCAGAAAGACCAAATACAGACGTCATTGTCAGCTTAGGTGAGAAATGACGTTCTTCCTCTTTCTCAGTGGGAATGAGCACAAGGTTTTTTAGTGTGACAACTGAAACCTTTACATGAGGTCTCTTACAGCTAGCAGTTGATTTTGGTTTCTCATACTTTAGGAAAATGTAACCTTCTGTACTATGAGAAAAAACTACTGGTCAATCTAGTAAAGAAATGTGGTGGTCGAGCCAAAAAAGAACCACAATGAAGTTTAATGTCTCAAAATGTTTCTGTGTTCTAAAATATAAATGATAAATTAGCAAGTTTTGTGAGAATGCAATTGCTTCTCTCTGCAGATATACAGGGACTAATCCAGAGGAAAAAAGTAGTACCAGAAAATAAAATTGGTATATTATTCAAGTTCAGCTTCATGTGAGTCACTGTTCCCTAAAACCATCTTATGTGGCCCCACCTGGAACCTCCAGCATGTTGAAACAACATTAAGATATTTCTGCTATTAATCTTATCTTATTTATTCGACCAACAGTTTCTATGCGTGTGACTTACCCCCAGACAGACCATGCCCAGGGCTAGTCCAGCAGCAAGTGAATAGGACTCTCGGTCTGTGCAGTACTCCATCTCTGGACCAGGAGGTCGACCTGAAAGACAAGAAAACACACTCAAAAGTCAGGAGTGGAACTGTGGTACAGGAGGTCAACCACTTCTGCCTGACTACAAATGAAGGTAGTGCTTTTACTATTGACCAACAGAGCTTAAATACTACTTTTAAACTATGCCGTCAATCTGGACCCGACCAAGTTATGTAAGGATATATTGTTTTTGCGTTTGAGAAGTTCACATTCTTATCAGTGCTCAGTATACACTATGTCGCACACAATGCATGTGACACTCAAAGACATTATACATTATTTTCATTATTTATTAATCTGACAGTAATTTTTTCAATGCATCAATGATATGTCTATACGAGTTAAACATGCTTGTTGTACAGTATACTTCCCACAGTAAGGTATTTAAATGTCTTGTTTTATTCAACTAACAGATATTCACTTGTCACTATGTTGTCGATATGAGCATCTCTGACCATATGTAAAATTAATATGTAGACCTTTAATTAAAAGCTTTGAATCCCAGTTTTTAAAAAATGTCGCTGTATGTTTTTGCACACCCAAGAACACATGCAGACACACACATACACACCTATCTCAGACAGCAAGACTTCAGCATTATGTCTGTGTCCTGTTCCCTGGTACACCAGCCCGATGCCAATTACAGCAGCAACCTGCAGAACAGACAGAGGGAGAATTGAATGATTATTGTTTCATTTTGTGTGTGTGTATAAACAATTGTGTATACTTGTACGTGTATGTTTGCAGATCTGAATAAACATAATCCACACAGACACACTAACAGCCGTGTAATTAGTCTTATACTCGTATATAACCACTTGAAGTACTGCAATTTCACAGTCCACAATTAATATTCTTCCTCATTGCCCTGATGCACTCTTATGTCTCTTATGTGGACATTTAAACATGCACATTCACTGTTACCTGAACATTGTGTGGCACGTCCAGCTCAGTGGAGGTGGGTGGGAGAAGGGCAGGGATGTGTATACTAAGCAGGCGGGTAATTGACATGTCCATGGTGCCCAGTTTGGCTGAAGACACACCCAGAAGGAGCCCGATGCTGGTCATCTCATGGCCCTGACGCAGCGACAAGGACAGAAAGCTGGTAAATTGTGGATTTAGGGTGTCAAAGAGACAGGCTAAACAGTTGTTGATATGCATATTTATAACTTCCAAGAAAAATACAGTGTTTTCTTCAAAGAATGGTCAATTTTAGTCAAATGTAGACAGCAAATTACCTCAGACCACGCAATATATATGTGTCCCTGTGTACTAAACACCTGCTGTAGCAGAACAAATTACTTCCGATGTAATCATCTCTAACTGTGAGGCTGGTATCTGAGGCTCACCGTGACTGACAGTTTTCATTAGACCCCTGTGGATCACACCTGTGTGTGTTTGTGTCTGTTAAATAATCGCAAAGGCATACCATGTTCCCCTAACATGTTGTAACAGCAACACTCTGATATGGGTCATCATTACATTAAAATTAAAAGTAAATTCTGCACATTTTTGCTCTACATTCAAAATAAAACCATAAACGATTTTTTAATAAAGTCAGAACCTGACAATGAAAAATATCCAGGAAAAGGCTAAACAGCAACTAAATGTGAAAATATTAGACTAGCTCCATTTCTCTAGTGCACTGGTTCGCAAACTATGGTACACGTAGTAATGCTGGCACACAACCTTCAAGCTGTTACAGGCTAAAATGCGATGGTATCATAGTAAGTGAAGGTAAAGTGAATGGGCCAAAAACACTGCTATCATGGCAGCAAACAGGAATAGTGGGAAGAAAAGTGTGGGCCAGGAGTATCACTTTTCCACCAAATTAGCACCGGTTCCGTTCAAAGATATAACAACAGTGTTCGTAGCTGAATAGGGTTGGCCTACACTAT